GGGGGGGGGAGAGGCTGGTAAGGGTGGTAGGGAGAGCTAGCAGGGTGGGGGTGGGAGTAAGATTTTAGAATAAAAGTATTTTTGAAAAGTGAACTCAAATTTTTTTGGAAGGGGGTGGGGGATGGGGGCTTGGCCGGTGGTGGGTAGGTGGGGTGGGGGGTCAGGGATCGGGTGAAAAATAAAATTAAAAATTAAAAATTAAAAATATTTTTTAAAAATTGATGTTTTTGCCAAAAAATAATGTAATTTGAAGTTGGAGAAGAGTTTTGGAAAATGTTTTCCTTAATTCTCGAAGGGAAATCATTTTCCTTAATTTTAAGGAAAATGAGTTGATTTGAAAAATATTTTCCAAGACTTTTGTCCCAACCAAACATGAGAAAATTGGAAAACATTATCCAGAAATTGTTTTTCTTCATACCAAACACACCCTTAATATACTAATTACTAAATTAAAAGAAATAATTAGGAGTTCTATTTATTGATCCACTAGTATATCTCTTTTTGAGAATCTGCACAAACAAATTATCGATGAAATTTGTATTCACAAATCTAATTAGGACTATTAGAGAATAAGAGTAATACAATAATATTTAAAATTGTGACCTCAATTAACTTTCTAAATATATTATAACTGACAACCTTTCTTAACAATGTAAAAATTAAACAACAGTGCTCTAATAAAGTTTGTTTTTTTTGTTGTGTAACTTTTCATAAAAAAAATAAATAATAATGTTATATATTATTGTACCTCTTGATTGAAGCTTAAAATTATTTTGGCTCTGTTAATTTTGATTTCTTTTTATAACGTTAATTTTTCAATTTAATTTTTGCTTTAACTAGTTAATTTTTTGTAAATATTTTTTCTTTAAATAATAATAATAATGTTATAATGCTTACATACTTTAATATTATAAAAGTATGTATTCCATTAATTAAGTTTGTTCCTAAAAGTTTATTAACAATTTTTAAAATTTTTGTTATTCATTTATAGGGTTGATATTTATATGACATAAAAAATAATTTAATGTTTTTTAGTGATAAATTTAGTTAAATGATTTTATTGATATAAAAGTTTAAGTTGGGTGATTTTTATTGATACAAAATAAAATTCAATGAGTTGCTAGATAAATTTTCAAAGTTGAGTGACCTTTTGAGATATTAACTCGTAGATATTTGTCGAATCTAGATATACTTGAATTTCCTAATTGCCATTTTTTTATGGTATAAACATAATCAAAATAATAAAGTATGAAGACATATTTCAAATATCATCTTTAGTTCCTTCTTTTAAAAGTAAAACAAATAATATCACCAAATTTAAAATGTAAGTGGTATATAATCATGGTAGGGAACTTAACTTACATTATTATCCATAATTTGTGCTCTGCTCCATCTAACAGAATATGGAGAACCATTTTCGTTTGCATAATTTGTTACAGAAAAATAATTAATGAGTTAACCATCAAATGCCATGCACATCCATATGAATTTTGTATGATTATATTACGTACATAGGTATAAGATGCAAATTGTAGGGATAATGTAATCACCAAATAAGATGCAATTTGTAGGGATAATGTAATAACCAAAACTCTGGGGGATTTTAATTGGAGGGACTATTTTTAAAATGACATAATACATAAACGTGATTCTTAACTTAATTTAAGTGGATAACTATGCCCTTCAACTTTGAGTATGCTCAAGTAGACACTTAAACTTGTATAAAATTGAATAAGTAGACACACTCCTTCTACATAACATAATATATGTAGGACGCCACGTAAGACAAAATTTCCATGTAGGATGCCATGTAGGATGGATGTGTCAATTTTTTCAATTTTATTCAAGTTTAAGTGTCTACTTGTGCACATCCAATGTTAAATGTCATAATTACCGGTTGATGCCAAGTTAAGAGTCATGTTTAGGCATTATGCCCCAAAAGGGACGTGGCAAACACAAAAAATCTAGATAACGATGAGTTTGATCCCTTCAATCCCAAATTAAGAAACTTTTACACACTATTTTGTACCTTTATTCATGTAACATAGTCATTCCATAAATTCTTGAAATTTCAAGACATCAGAAAAAAATACAAGTTCCACAAACAACTAATCTCTTTTCTCTTTACATTTGGTAGATCACCAAAAAATCCACATTCGTCATTAATACATAAATAATATTTACAACCAAACAGATAAATATAAAAAAACTAAAGCCAAAATAGATGCAAGAAAATCAAAGTAGCTACATTTTCATATACAAATAGTAGAGATTATCATTCATAAAACAGGTTAATTATCCATCTCTTGATAATCGAAACAAAGAAACATTGAGCCAGATGAAGCTACAACATTCCAAAATTTTCATTTAAAGAATCGCAGTGAAAAAATCGGAAAGCAAAACACAATATTGCTCAATGATAACAATATTTTCTAAGCTCAATATCAAATAGGCTTATAACCCCAAACTAACAAGAGATTAATTGGCAAAGGGGAGAGGCCCAAAAGTTAATTTGACAATTCGCCACTTTTTTTATTTTTTCATATAATTTTTAAGGTTAGGTTAAGAAAAAGTGAAAAAGTGGGATTGGGTTGTGGGGTCAAGGACCTTTGCATCCTTTAAGAACTTTGGTAATAAAATACAAGTTTTAAAATATACATAAAGTCCCTATCATATTTTTTAAATACTCCTATTTTTTTTTAAATTCATTTTATTATTCAACAATTTTCTTCTGTCTTCTCAACCTCTCTTCTTCTCTATTTTCTTGATATCTCAAATAGTTGAAATATTTTTTTTCTCCAATCTTCTTCCCCAAGTCGAAATCTTCGTCCTCTTATACTCAGGTAAGCTTATTTTACTTTTCTTAATAGTTTTAGCTCCGTTTTACTATTTTTTTTGTTGCATTTTAGTTTAGTGGATTTTGTATTTCTATGAAAATTTGTTTGTGTTGATTAAAATTGTCAAAATTTAATATGTTTTGAGTTCATGTTCTTGATTCCGCATCATTGATTGTGTATTGCTTTAGACAATGGTTAGAAAGTTTTCAACTTATATGTTCATATTTTCTATGTATTTTTTTAATTTTTTTCTGCATTTTAGCAAACGTTAATGGTGTTTGATTACTTCTTTTGCATTCTTCCTTTCTAGAATCAGTGCTACTGGTATTGCATATTTGATATAGTACTTTTATGTTGTAGTTAATTTACTAGTGGTTGATGTATTGATCATGTAACATTCCACCTTAGAAAGAGCTAAGAGAGAAATAACTAATTTGGAAAGAGAAAATTTGAGATATGCTCAAGTTAAGCTTAAGTTGTGAGTTTTGCGTCAACTTTCAATTATTATAACTTTTCATACAAGATGAACTAGGCGGCTCATAAGATATAAGATTAAAAATCTTGGATTCCCCTATCCGACGCCACTGAGTTTGTTGAATTTCGAGTCCAGATCAACGAGATATTCCACTTTGAAGTCGGCAAGTGGAAAGTTACCCGGATTAGTGGGGTATTTTGGTCTCTTCTTGTAATGATCGGGGAGTATCCCCTAGACGTAACACAACGCACTTGACTTCTCGGAGGTCTTATACAAGGTCTTAGACATCTTTCATCACATAGATATAAAATAAGCGGAAAATATATAACCTTTTTCATAACATAATACAAGACTAAAATGACATTCCATTTTAAAACCATATGTACATAGTTAGGAAACTAAATCTCGTCCCCATCTTAGACACAACTTCAATAGAATAGGGACACGACCCTTAACAATACAAAAGAATGCTCTATACTATTATATGAACTTAGTTTAAACTCTTGACATCAAGATCCTTGAATCATAAAGGACACACTTGAACTTGGGAATAGTAATCCAAGCTCCTCATTCTAGGAAAGATCCTCTAGCCATCACCAACTACACTTTGTGAAAAAAGATGAAGAAAAATAGTATTAGTACAAAAATGCACTAAGTATGATAACCATGCAAAAACATGATTTAGAAGAGGACATTTTATTAGAAACCATGCATCATGTCTTTTTAGGGAAGCTTCATAAGCATTTGATACAATAAGCAAAATGTAGCTCACATACATTATATAGATATGGATGTCACTCATAACACACTTAGACCATTTTATCACATTTAAGACACATTCAATGGCTCCAATACATTACCCTCCTTTTTAATCTTAACTCCTTTCCTTAAGCAACTCTTAAGTAATGCTTAGTAACATGTATCACCTTAAGATCACCAAAGATTATCTTTCATATATAGGCTTCATCAATCCAACAACATATATTCATAAAGCCATAAGCACATCATAGGGCATAATCTACACATAAGAACCATCACCTAAGACAACCCCAAGCCACACTAGTGCATTGTACAAGAAGCATCACGTAATACTACTCACACCAAGTGTTCCCATGATGTCACCCTAGACTTAGGCACATCACATTTAATAAGATACAACACATGCACATAACCTTAGGCATACTACCAACATATTTCAATCATGGTCACATAAGAACCCTTTCATTTATTATATCTTAGTATAACCCATTTAGTCCATATCATAGGTAAACCACCCTCACAACCCCTTCACAAGCTTACTTGTGCAATGTACACATGGAATCCCATACCTCCACATATACTAAGCAAACCCATTTAAAAGACATAAGTGTAATTCACATGTATAATCATATTTTATGTCTTCACATAAGTAAAATCAACCTTAACATGCATTCATATTAACATACATGAACCATAATCCTTATTTTATAAAGGAACCTAATCATAACCTCCCTTAAAGTCCACTTGTACAATGCATAAGTAGGGTCCATAATCCTTCCTACACTAAGTCTCTTTTCAAGAAATCATGACTAATGTTCATATTCTTATCTTAGTTCATTTCTTGATTTTAGGGAGACTTAGCCATATCCAACCATAGACCATGTGAGCTACATGGAATATGGTTTCATAAAATCCCACACCAGAAGAAGGTGTTCTACTTGCCAAGGTAGAATATACATAATAACTATCTAGGTGGATTCACTAGCTAGAACCTAAGGGGGCACGAGTACAAGGGATAGTGATATTGCTTCTAGGAACTCAACTTATTGCATTAGCAGAGAGGCTTCCATCTCATGAGTAACACTTAGATGAACCAACCTATTGCATTACCGGAGGGGTATTTTCCTCATTATACATATCCACTCGGTGCTAATCTTGAACTCCCTCATTAATATCTTTAAGCCTTTACTTATCATTAGTTCATAAAGTAGGCTTTAGGGACTTACTCCCTCATACATCATATAGCTCAAAGGTTTCTAGATGAGAATGTCCTTTCATCATAGAACCCATTTATGTGATAATTTCCTTTCATATAATCATAAAATATTCATAACATAGTATATTTTAGAATACAATTGAAGAAACCTTTCAAAAGACTCACTTTCAGTATATTATCATAACCTCATTCATTTCTACATTCATGTGTGTGTACATATGTGAGAAAGCCTTTCACATAAGTACCTTTAGACAATACATGTATATACTTCATTATTAATATAATTTTAATGCATAATCAGATATTAAGTTGCATATGAGAATTATCCTCTCAATTAACACCATAAACATATCATACTCATAGTTATGCATAGAGTGTGTGTACATATTGGTCCTCATGATCACATAATAACAACATCATTGTTATTGAGGAAACCACCCTTTAAAGAATCACAACACATTGCAATATCCCCTAAGTCATGAACAACTTACTTATAGAGTATTTATGGACTATAGACAACACACCCCTTTTTCATCGTAGGGGACAAAAGCACATTCAACATGTGAATAAAATACTCCTAACATACAAAATATCACATATTTATATAGGGATTACATAAGTAGGGTTCATTCTACAATTATGCTTATATAGTCAAGCATGTAGACCAGACCTTATCCTAACATCATTATTCACATGTACTTCACATTATCAATACACCTTAGTCATGATTCTAACATTGAGGACTTTGTACATAACATTTATGGCACACCTTCATACTCATAATCATAATAACCACAAGTCACATTACATATATTGACATTAATTCCATGATCACAACACCTATAGATAGACAATAAGTAAACACCGCCACCATAAGTGGACCAAACCATACAACACCATTCATTTACTATAGACTAGAAGTTAGGTTTGTAATACCTCAAAAATGACTTAGGTGAAGATAGATTATAACATGTTTGTAATGAGGGTATATGTTCCTAAAATGGTTTATAATATGGTATTGAGGCAGCATCTAGAGTTTTAGGTTATTTGAAATGAAACGTCAAGGGACGACTAAGACGTCCGATGACTAAGTCACCTATGTGCCTCATGTGTGGTTATATGATAATATGTGTGCCTAATGATTTAATGAGGTCTTTATATGAGTTATTATAGTGTTTATAGGCAGTGTGTTTAATTTCATAAAGTTTGGAGGTCAAACGTCCAAGAACGTTCATGACATTTGAAAGGTTTGCCTTGAAATGACCTTGTGTGTCTTAGCATGTTTATTCGAGTTTTATGTGTTCGTTTTGAATGAAATTAATATGGGAGGTCCTAAACTAGTATATGAACATATTCAGGTAGTAAATGTCTGGGAAAGCATCCCCAAGGACCATCCAAGGGCCCTTGAGGAAGGACCCTTCACAAGTGCCCAAAATGTCAAAACCAGCCTAACTTACGGATGGCAATCGACGACCAGTAGGTCAGTCGACGCCCCGTAGGTGAGGGGCTTAGGTTGAAAATTAGGCCTGGAAGGAGGACCTTCCAAAGACAAGCCTCAGTCCCAAACCACGGACCAATAGGACGGTCCGTTGGTTGGGAAACAGGCCGTCGTTTGGCAACCGTCTGTGAGGGCTGGTTCCTGCGCAGTTACTCTTAAGTGAAAGGGGTGAAATGGTAATTTCACCCCACGTCAAAATATGAGAAGGTGCGGTTACTTAGGATTATTTTAGGTATTTTAAGTGGGTTTATAAGTCCTAACTACCTAGATGTACTCATTTATCAAAATCTAAACCCAAAATATCCTAGAAATTTAGAACTCCGTTGAAGCCAAAACTAAAGGAAAAGCTTGGATTGGAGATTTTAGTGGTAATTCTTCATCAATTTTGTGGATTAACATCATTGAGATATGATTTTTTTCCTTGAAACTCTATTCATCAAGGAGCCAATCTTCAAAGTGATTTTCAAAGACTTCTTAAAAGATGAGTTTTCTAAATTGAAATCTATCAATGAGTTCTTGAATTAAAGGTTTTAAAGCATTGAATATTGATTGAATTGTTGTTAATTAGATTATATAAACCCATGTAATTGATGAACCCTAGTTTCTTACTGATTTGTGGGTTAAGTGATATTGTCTTAATGCTTATAAAATCTAGTGTAGTTTTCTATGGGCTATTAAATGATATAATAATTGTATTCAATTGACGTATAGGCTGTTTTATATTGATAAGTATCTATCCAATTGACTTATATTCATTGATTAATATAGTTTTTATATTGACTTGTTGATTATGGGCATGGGTAAGGGCCTTATGGTACTGAATTGGATGATTTAGCTATGGATTGAAGTGGTGAGAATGGATTGGTGGTACACTGCCCTATTCTATTTATTTTATGTTAATTAGACTTGAATTATGTTGTGATTGGTATGTTCCACTTATGGTGGTGGCGCTATGTGCTTTTCTTGCAATTGATGTGGCCTTGTCGGCGTTACATTATGTATTATGATGATCATGGACTTGTTAGAAAATTACTTGATAAATTGTGATGATATGTGCAGTTGATTATGTAAAGTATGGTCATATTCATCTACTTGTGATTAAGTGAAAGTATGTTTTCTTCTATTGATAAACTTACTACTCAACTTTTCATCCCCCACTTAGGGTAAACCCATCTAGGAGCAACTTCTCTCATATAAGAGGACTTTAATTTACCAACCCTTCTAGTCAAACACAACATCACCCTCTTGGGATCAAGTTTATGAAAATCTTTCTTAACATCCCCTCATTCTACTCTAAAGAAGGAACCATTTCTCACTAAATTTCTAGTACATTCCATTAAGTAAGATTTCAAGTAATCCACAAATGAGTATCTAAATCACTCCACTTCATATCCATCACTCAAAGTGATTTAAACATAGAAAAGTTCAAGGCAGCGCAATGTAGGAACATTAAGGGCATTGGAAACCTTACCATCTAAGCACATTATCCCCCTCTTGGGGTGATCTTAGTCCAATCTTGATCACAACATGCCCTTCATTACCAAGGTCGAGTCATGTCAAGACTAAACCTCCATGCTTCTCACATAATATGATTTTACACCATTGAGGATTTTATTCCTACCCTCATAAGAAGAAGCTTACCAATTCAATCATCAATGGGTACCACTCAAGCACAATTATTCCTCCATGTCCATCACTTTGATGAAATTCATAAGAATTAAAGTTGGGTTATACATCTCAACCACCTATGGTCATAAGTAAATCCAAAAATTTACCATATGTTTTTTCTCAAGTCAACACTTAGACCATTTCAACCATGCCTAGGTATTTTTTAATCACTCTTATCAAATGAACACACTTAAGATCAATCTTAAAAGACAAATAATCTCTTTAAAGTTGGTCAACATCAATTCTCTTCTTCTCCATATGAACTAAGGGGTACATGCATCCCTCTAAGTCAACCTTAGAGCCAATTATAATCCTAACTTATGGAATAAAACCCCTTTTTCCTTTTTCTCACTCGTAGGATAGGTTCATATTAAAACTAATCAACTAGGCATACGGGTCCTCCCATTAACTAGCATACTTCACAATTACCTTATAAGGTAAACACACTATCTTCCCTTCTTAGGAGTAAGTCGATACAAAGACTCTAATTCCCACAAGGAAAACCATGAAGCATTACTCATATAAAGAGTTAACTTTCATCTCTCACCATACATATCACATTCCTTTAGGAATCCTCAAGTCTAAATGATTTTCTATTATTATTGCACATAACCATAAAGTAACCTATCATCCCAAAAAGGACTTCATTCAATCAGAACAACTCTTATCATGGCTAGAGATACATCACAACATAACTTATCAAACTAATACCTCAAATATCATATGTCACATATTGCCATTATTGGCATCAAGTTGAAATCTTCCAACTCCACCTTCACATATACTCATCTAGCCATAAAACCATAATAAGCATTAAAACTCACCTTTTCTCCCTCAAGGCTTGAGACATCACCCTTCCAAGAAATCACATCTAAAAGACCACCGGACAAGGGAAATAAGAGAGAGATTATATAGAGAGTTAAGCTCTATGGCACGACACAAGAGTAATGAAGAAAGTGAAACATTTATCTTCCTATAGCCTCTCGCTCATGTGTCGAGCTTTACACCGATAAATAATACTCTACTAGACGTAGCATTATGATATATATATATATATATATATATATATATATATCACTCATAACACACTTGAAGAAATTTTATCACATTTAAGACACCTTTTATTTATCCAATACATTACCCTCCTTTTTCAATCTTAACTTCTTTCCTTAAGCAACCCTTAAATAATGCTTATTACAATATATTACCTTAAGGTACCAAAGAAATCTTTCATATATAGAATTCATCAATCCAACCACATATATTCATAAAGTGATAAGCACATCATAGGGTATAATCTACACATAAGAACCATCACCTAAGACAACCCCCAACCCACACTAGTGCAATATACAAGCAGCATCACATATTACTACTCACACAAGTGTTCCTATGAAGTCACCCTAAACTTAGGCACATCACATTCAATAAGATACAACACATGCACTTACCTTAGACATAAGACCAACATATTGCATTAATGGTTACATAAGAACCCTTTCATTTATTACATCTTAGTATAACCATTAAGTCCATAACATAGGTAAACCACCCTCACAACCACTTCACAAGCTTACTTGTGTAATGTACACATGGGGTCCCATACCTCCACATATACTAAGCAAACCCATCTAGAAGCCATAAGTTTAATTCACATGTATAATCATAATTCATGTCTTGACATAAGTAAAGTCAACCTTAACATGCATTCATATCAACATACATGAACCATAATCCTTATTTCATAAAGGAACCTAATCATATCCTCCCTTAAAGTCCATTTGTTCAATGCATAAGTAGGGTCCGTAATCCTACCTACACAAAGTCACTTTTCAAGAAATCATGATTAATGTTCATATTCTTATCTTAATTCATTTCTTAAGTTTAGGGAGACTTAGCATTAAACTACATAGGCCATGTGAGATACATCAAATTTGGTGTCATAAAACCCCAGACCTAAAGAAGGTGTTCTACTTGCCGAGGTAAAACTTATATAATAGCTATCTAGGTGGATCCACTAGCTAGAACTTACAGGGTCATGTAGTTAAGGGATAGTGAGATTGCTTCTAAAAACCCAACCTATTGCATTATTTGAGAGACTTTCGTCTCATGAATATCACTTAGATGACCCAAACTATTGCATTAGCGGAAGGGTCTTTTTCTAATTGTACTTATCCACTCAGTGCTAAGCTTGAAATCCCTCTTTAATATCTTTAAGCCTTTACTTATCATAAGTTCATAAAGTAGTCTTTAGGGACTTACTCCATACATCATACAACTCAAAGGTTTCTATGATGAGAATGTCCTTTCATCATAAAACCTACATTATATGAGAAAGTCCTTTTTCACATAATCATAAAATATTCATAATATAGTCACCACAACAAATTATAGATTTAGTGGCAATTATTTAAAGGAAATTTTATAATTGTCACTAAATCATGTTTTAAAGTCAATTATTAATGGCATTTCTCCTTTCGCTGGTAATGATTTAGCTTTTAACGACAACTAATCTTACCTTTGGTGAAAATTACTTGAAAAGTCTATGTACATACAACCAATTCCCTTTCAACTAAACAAAGTTCCCAAATATTCGCTACTCTAAATTCAATTTATTTCCCCGAATTCTAAGGCTCATCTTTCTTTTTCATTCCATATTAAGCGGTATCCTTGGTATTCACCAGATTATCGGAGCTCTAGAAATTTCTCTAAAGCACCAGCAAAGCTCCTTCCATGGCTACGGACGACAAATTCAGACTGAAGCATCGATAATTTTCATTGTTTTAGTCTACTCGTTCTTATACTTCTAACTGGTAGTATCTCTCACTAATTTTCTTATGAATTTCAACAACCTACTTATGAATCTCGATCTGATTTTTTTAAATTTGATATCTCTTTTTAAATGGTACTGTATCCATGATTCTTAAGAATCTCTCTTGTTTCTAGATAATTTTGAGCATATTTGATTCTATATTGTCAAAAATTAGCAAGGAATATCACATTTTGGAGATTGGGTTTGGTTGAGGAGGATTCGTTGAGGAGGTTCTTATGCAAACATGATGTCAATATACTGGTATAACTCTTTCCGAGCAACAGCCGGAGTATGCAAAGTTGAGAATTGAGTAAGCAGGTCTTCAAGTATACCACTTGCATTGTCTATGGAAGAAAAAAGTTTCTATGTTACTAAGATGTATAGTTTCTATATGCTGAGGCAAGTGATAAAAAGAAATTAGAAAATTCTACTTCATGAACTAAACCTTCTATAACTAAAATGATTTGTTTATTGATCGCGGTGTCTGGGACAACTTAGGAACAACTTAGTACTTCTTTGTACTTCCTATTAACATAGAAACAGGATAAATATGACAGGATTATATTGGTGTATGCTTTTATCCTTCTATATATTGACATATTGATTGTAGTACTTAATAAATGTCAAGCCAATGTTACAATTGTACTAATTATCATTTTCAGCGAGGTGTTGGAACATATTGGTCATGATTTTATTAGGAAATTCATTAGTTGTTTCGAGTTTACATTGGCAGATGATGGGTTTTTAGTTTTTCAGGTAATGAACATATTTAACGCGACCCTTCAACACATTCCACTTTTTTTTTTTTACCTTTTTCTCAATTTCTCTTGAATCAAAAAGCGCTTGCTTTCCTCAAATTTAGTTTAATCGGAGACGTAAGGTATGCTAAACGCATACAAAGCTCTGACTTTATGAAAGAGTATATATTCCTAGTTAGTAGCTTGACTGCACTAAGTCGAGTAACATCAGTCATGACTTCTGCATACAGCCTTTGGTAACAAAGAGTTTATTTTGTGATTTTGCACTAGTGTGCTTAGCTTGTCAATCTTATAAAACATTTTCTTTTGAGAAAAAATTTGATAATGAAATGATAAAAGTGTAGTGTAGTGTACCTAGAAGATATATGATGTATTAAGTTTGATTGTTCTTTTTATACAACTGCAAGAAGACCTTGAAGAAACTACAAAGGCCTTACGAGAAGGAACAATTTGATGCAAAATTGAAGCTTGTAGGAGAGTATGGACTAAGCTGCAAGAGGGAGCTTTGGAGAGTGCAGTAAACTTTGAGCAGTATCAGGAATACTGCTAGAATGCTTCTGACATTGGATGAGAAGGATCCACGTCGTATTTTGAAGGTGAATCTCTCTTGAGGAAAGCCAAATCAAGCCAAATTATGTCTTGGCACTCAATGTGGAGAACTTTCTTGAGTGTCGTCTCGAAACACTTATGTTCAAGACTTACATGGTTAAGTCAATTCATCATGCCAGAGTTCTCATCAGGCAAAAAACATATCAGAGTTGGGAGGCAGGTGGTGATTGTTTCTTCTTTTATGGTGATAATGGACTCCTAGAAGCACATTGAATTCTCTCTCACTAGTCCGTTTGGTGATGGGCGTCCTAAAAGAGTGAAGTGAAAGAACCAAAAGTCTGCTTTCAAGAAGGCTGTTGATGGTGATGGTGATGAAGAGTATGAAGAATGATCAACTATCTTAGTGTTATGGTCTATTTGGCTTGTAGTGCTAGCCTATCTTATTTTTCTGCTATTTGTGGTTTATCTTTATGTAGTAGTAAATAAATATTAAACAAAATTTTCTAATCTTGGATTTTGGACTGTTTTAAGAGTTCGAATAAAAAAAAAGTTTGATTGTTCTTTCTTTTAAATGAATGTTGTTTGAGTTTGGTAATTCTTCTATTACTATATTTGTATTGATTTCTCTTGTTATACATATGAATTAAGTTTAATTCATGGTAAATTATAATTTCCACTAAAATAGGTCTCATTTATCGGCAATTATAATTTATAAATATGGAAGCTTCACCGAAAATAGTCATTGCCACTAACTAAATACTTTTAGTGACAATTTACATGTCTTTACCCACACTCTAACTAAATGGAGCTAAAGACTTTAGTGACACTGGATGCAATGGAAATAGATTAAATGCCACTAAAGGTTTTTGTGGAAATTAAAATTTCCGCTAAAAGGAAACTTAAATTCCACTAAAAGTCTCTTCCGCTGTAGTAAGTCTAGTTTACTAAACAATTGAAGAAACCTTTCAAAATACTCACTTTCACTAAATTATCACAACCTCATTCATTTCTACATTCATGTCTGTGTGTACATATGTGAGAAATCCTTTCACATAAACACTTTTAGACAACACATGTTCATACTTCATTATTCATATACTTTTCATTCGTAATAAGATATTAAGGTGTATATGAGAATTATCCTTTCAATTAACACCATAAACATATCATACTTATAGTTATGCATGGAGCGTGTGTACATATTGGTCCTCATGATCACATAAGAACAACTTCATTGTTATTGAGGAAAATATCCTTCAGAAGATCATAACACATTACAATATCCCCCAAGTCATGAACAACTCACATATAGAGCATTCAGGGACTACAGACCACATACATTTCATCATAGGAGACAAGAGCACATTCAATATGTGAATTGAAGACTCCTAATATACATAAGATAACACATGAATATAGGGATTAGATAAGTAGGGTTCATTCTACAATTGTACTTATTATAGTCAAGCATGTAGACCATAACTTACCGTATCATTATTCACATTGTACTTCAGATTATCAATACACCTTAGTCACCATTCTTACATTTAGGATTTTGTAAAAAAACCTTCATGGCACAACTTCATACTCATAATCATCATAACCATAATTCACATTACATCTATTTCCATCAAGGCCATGATCACAACAGGTATAGATAGACAAGAAGTAAGCACAACCACCATAAGTGGACCAAACCATAAAACACCATTTCATATACTATAGACTAGAAGTTAGGTCAACTTACCAAATCTTCAAACCATGATCATCATAAATCAATCCTCAACAATTTATAATCAATAGATATAGATAATAATATTTTTTAACAATACATCATAATCTAAGCTTAATTCAATTAACATACAATCAAGATCACAAGACCCAAATCATAGGCTAAATTTAGAGTTTAGAGAAATCATGGGTTCTTCAAGGAATTACATTGAGGAATCACCTTAAAAACCTTGATCAAAAATTAAATTATCATTACAATAACTTTAAAAACCTTTTGACAATGAACCCATGTTTACATTGAAAATTGGGAATTTTGATCATCGAAACTTTTTGAGAAATCATTGATAGATTTCCTTGGTGAAAGGTTATCCAAGGATCAAGGATTACCCTAACTTAATAGAAGTAAAACCCACGAATTTTTGAGAAAAAGGATCTTGAGAATACATTTTCTAGCTTGATCTTCAGCTTGGTCTCCCATTGATTTCTAGAGAGAATCTTATTTGAGAGAGAGGAATTAGTTTGAAGAATAAATTATAATTTGGGGTTTCAATGTTCTACTAACATAAAATACCCCCAAAAATGTAAAACAACCGTCCACCCTCTAATTAGAATGTGGAGAGGATGCTGCGACACACCCTAGATGTGCCAGTAGGCCTAGGTCCGGGTGCCAACAGTGTGCCAAAACCCACTCGTTGAAGTTCGGATGCGTGCGACGCCAAGGTCGTTTGTATCCACTCTTTTTCTATCATTTGCTCCATCTGAGTCCTCTTAAAGAGTACCTTCACTCCCTATTGATTCCAACTACTCTAAAATATATTTGATTTTATGACCTAGGGTATCCCCTAGATTTAACAAGGCACATAGATACCTGAAAGGCTCCATATAAACCACTTAGCATATTAAAACATAAAGTAATAGAACAATAAGAGTAAAAACACATTTCAAGTCCAATTTTTTCATAAATGAAAGTTGATGTCTAGACTTGTCTCAACATAGTCATCTATTATAATACTTGAATGAAATAGGGGCTAACCCATAAAACAAAATTTCAAAAGGAAATATAAGAAGTGAACTACAATGATATAACATTTGTCCTCGAATCATGAGGATCTCCAATATACTAGGAGAATGGGAAAATCCAAGCTTTAACAACAAAAATGATTACCTAGGGAATCGCACCCTACACTTAAGGAAAATGTAGGATATTAGGCGTTATAAAAATGCACCAAGAATGATATTCATGCATAAAAACATTTAAAACATGCTAAAAGGGACATTCATTTGAATGCATTCTATTTACTAAGTTAAAACGTCATTATGAAGATAGTGGAAAATTGTAAGTCATAATCATAGTCAATACATTGATCATCATATCATTAGAGAAACACTTCATAAATACCCTCAAAGCATACTTTTGAAATACATTAATAAGACTTGATAAATATCAATCATTCAAAGTAAAACTTCTTGAGTAACCATAGTTCATAATTCATATTATTGTTCTTATTTTTGTGGGAATAAGACTTTACCGATATAAGACCATATGATCTATACATGGACCCCCGATATTACCCTCACCGAAAAGAGGTTGTCTTACTTGCCTCAGGTAGAATCATAATCTTAGATTAGGTGGATCCAGTATGTAAATAACCTATGGGGGCGCATAGTTTATAGGATAAGGAGATTTCTACTCGAAACTCGAACTCAACTAATGTAGAAGGTCTCCATCTCATGTGACATACATAGTGAACTTGGACTTAACCAGTGTTGAAGGATCCCATTGGAAGCCGGACTCAACTAGTTTAAAACCTTCAATCCAATCGGTGCTAAGCATTAATTCCCATGGAATACATATTAAGTCATAACTTGATTCATTGAGATAGCTCCTTATACCACACGTGAAAATAACCTTTCATCGTCCTTATCTACATATTGTTGCAATAGGTGAGAAAGCCTTCAATCTTAGAATCATCGTATTGTGAGAAAACCTTTAACATCATATAATATTCATGCATAGGTGTATATATGAGTATAACCTTTCAACACCATAAGAACTAGATCATAATCATATACACTTCACTTTTAAAGTTCTCTTAAAGCATATTCACAGACTTCATAAACATGCATAATATTATAATTTATCTTTAATGTCACTTTAAATCAACACATCTAGAATTTACTACACATAATTCAAGTAACCCAATTGCTAGAAGTATAATCTCATAATAACTTTCTTTCATCACCACACCCACATCATAAGATCATAATTTGGGAATAGGGAGATTTCATAGGTTCTTGGAAATTCAACATAAAGATAATAATTAATCATCAACTCAATCATAATATAAAGTAATTCAAACGTTAAAATTATTTTTTGAAAGGAACCCATGATTTTGGAATCAAACCCTAGCTTTTGAGGGACTTCTATCTTTGGAGTTGGAATTTTGAAGGGGTTCCATGAATGAATTCTATCCTAGGATAAAGACCTTACATAACTTAGAGATGAAACCCAATGAATTTTAGTAGATAACCTTGATTCTTTCACCATAGCTCCAACATCCTTTGTCTTCTTCCTTGAAGTTCTAGAGAGAAAATATTTGGAGAG